TGAAGCTGAACTGTGATGTCAAAAAGTAATGTTGATCATAATTGGCCTGAGTGAGAAACTGCAGGATGTCTTTATCTTCAAAATGGAAATGCTGTCTTTGTTTTGGAGCACACTAGCCTATAGAGGAACTTAAAGGTAAAGTTCACAAAAAAGGTCAATTTGGAACAAGTGAAGGGTAAGTAATGATGATAGAATTATCATTTTAGGATCAACTACCCCTTTAAGTCTAACATGTTCATATTAAACTCCCCAAAAAATAATTTAGATTTCAGGAAGATTTCCAAGGAGTTTCAAGCACTGAGTTTAAGGATGCTTGTATACTTTTCCCCCTAAAATAAAAAAGTAATCAAAGGACTTTGATATTACGTTTTATTTTCACTGATCGTGTACCTTGAAAGCATGAATATGTTTTCTTGAGACTTGCTGTAATTTCTTCTAATTTAAACGTGTAATGTTTCCATGGTAACATTATCCAGCCTGCTAAGATACATGTTTTTCAAAACTGTTAAATGTTTTATGACAACTGTAGGCACGTAAGTTTTAAAGAGAGGAAAATTATTCATATAACACAGTTAGTGACTGTTTTTCACTACCGCATGCGTTTATGAAATTAAAACTCTCTTTTATTGAGTTAGTTTACATTATAGGCATATTGCAAATTTAAAGCCTAAAATGATTTGTTTTACATGTAGCTTGTTTTGCTATCCTGAGAAAATGTTTTCTTTATTTAAATGTATGTAAAAAGAAAAAGAAAACATATAATTCTGATATATTTCTATATAGCTTAAAAGGTACCTATGGTGAAAATCATCTAAGCTGTGATAGAAGAGTAATAGAAACACAAGTATTTTTTTAATTTCCTGACATTAAAATAGGATGCAAATCCCTCCTTTTTTTGAGGTCCACCACAGCATGACGTCCGATTGCGGTTTCCCCACCCACCAAATTGATTGACAGCCGCATATTAACATGTCTCCATTGTACACGTATAATCATATCAACAAGACAGGACGTGCACGAAGCAACTGAGAATAGAAGATCTGTTGGGCTTGCTGTGATCATCAATCATGATCAAATGTGATCAAGAATGAGTTTTACATGTTTAAAACGTTTTTTAAAAAGTGTGTGCTTGTAATAAATTACAGCAATTTTACCATCTTTAATTTATCACCACAGCCACATGTCCATACAATTGTAAAAGAAGATGCTTCAATCCTGGTTTGTGGACGTTAAATCAGGTTTATATTGTACATTAACATAACGGATATCCATAAAGCAGTGGATATTAATGTGCATGCTGTCACACTTGCCATGCAAAAACTGTGTATGTGTGTGAACTTTGTAAGGACACTGTGTGTGACTCATTGCTGCAGAAGGGCTTGAATTAACTACAAAACAAATACATCAAATAATTATTGGGAAAGTTCTTACTGTAGTATTTCTCACAAATGTTACATGAGATCTGCTTCCTTGTCACTGTGCTGTTTATCTGATGCAGCCAAGGCAGAAATTGAGGCACACTCTGACAGGCATGTGCATAGGAATTGAGGGTGGGGAGAACTAGCAAACAACAGCTACATAGTGTTCAAAGCAGAAAATTCCAATATTCTGAAAGGTATAATAAATAATCTTATGAGTGTTTTGAGCTGAAACTTTACAGACACATTCTGGAAACACAAAATACTTATTTTAAATCTTGAAAAAGGGGTAAAATAGGTGCCCTTTAATGTTTTTGATTGTAGTTACCATATTAAGTGGTAATATCGTGAATATATACTATGCACTACTATACTAAATAAATACAATAAAATTTATATTAATAATAAGTCATTATTGTTTTATAAATATAATTAAATATGTAATGATTAACTATTATTTAAATAAATTTAAATTTATGGATTAAACTATTATTATTTACATCACTGTAAAACAACAAATTTCAGTTAAACAAAACAGCATTTAAAAATTCATATTATATTATTATTATTGTACATTTCATGCTACAAAATGATAACCCCAATTATTTGAACAGCATAAAATAGAATCGAATAGATTGAAACAAAACAAGAAATTTTGCAGTAATTCTTCACTTTCTGTAAAACAAGTTTCAAGTTTTTCTCTGTTGTTGTTTTAAAACTGCACAGTCTGGTACAAGTAATGATTTTTATCTTGTCACATAAACATTTTGACTTGTTAGTAGAAAATAATTAACATTTATATCATCAAAAGGAATACACAAAATACTAATGTTAAATTGCACTTGAACATCTGTTTACAATGTTAACAGCGTCCTGTTCAAACCACGAAACACAACTCTGTAAAAAATAGTGCAATATTTCAAAGCAGCATTCTGAATTTTTGTAAAACATCTGGAAGATCAGAAGAAAGCTAGATGTTATACTTTACTCTAAAATTAGACGGATTATTTACCCAAAAATGATAATTTGCTGTTAATTTATTCTCCCTCTGGCCATCCAAGATAAATGGATACAAGACTTTTTTCTTCTTCAGCAGAGCATTAAAGATGATTTATTTTAACTGAAAACTATGATCCTTGCTTATTTATACAATGCAATTCAATTGCTACTGGTACTTTAAGAATCAAAAAATATATGTTGGCAAAACAAAGTTAAAGGCCGTGACACACCAAGCTGACAGTCAGCCGTTGGGCAGGATCGGGCTGTACATGAGCGTCTGTCAGGTTAGTTTATTTGGTGTACTCCACATGTCACCTCTCGTCAGGCTTATGTTGGAGACAGATTGCTCAGTTCAGCTTATAAAATTGGCTTTTGCTGTCTAAGAAAAAGAGAGCTCTGATTGGCTGTTCAGGTATGAATCAGTGTGAGAAAACTAAAACCGAAATGATGAAGCTAAGCAAACGACACAAAGCAACAGGTAACACAAAGAAACCAGCTATGATTTTGTTGCATTTTTTTTTTATATTTGCAAACTATGACTTCAGATTGTTAGAAATATTTGCATGAGAGAATCCCTCTGTGGTAAAGTACTGAGAAAATGCTATGTAAATGCTGCTTTGTTTGTATGTGTGCAGCACTAGTTCTGGTTTCCCTTTGTGGAATGACTGCACAGATACTGCCACTTGCAGGTGTCGAACAATACATTCTCTCACACAGGTGGAGAATGTTTATCTTCTGTCGTCCCTTTGGTGTTCACATGAGATTTTTTGTGCAAGACGGGACCAAATGTATCTGATATAAGACAACAACACAATCATTTGTCATTGCTGCTAGTTCTTTCAAATTGGCGGGGTTTTATTCAACGCAAGTTATTTGTTTTTGGCCAATCCCCCCTCTGTACGCCAACCTAATTTCACCAAGTAGGACATGTTCCTGGATTAACATCTATGTTGATCCTGGAATAAAATTCAAATTAGCCAATCAGAATTAAGGAATATGTTTACTTTTTATGTTAAACTTAGACTTACAGTTAGGTTTATGCACTTCTACATGATTGTTATACAACTATTATTCCCCTTTGATTTTAGGAATTATTTACATTATGGTTGGGTTTAAGGGTAGGGAATAAGTATGGATTACATGTTTGAACAAAAACACAGATGTTAATCCAGGATCACATAGTACTTAGAAATCATGACGTGCTTTTTCTATAGTTCCCAATAAGTAATGCAAACATATTGCAGTGTTTGGCTACACCCTCAAAACTAAAATTACAATTTTAAACATTAAAATTTTAAATAAAAACAATCATAGTACCTGTCATATGAAGGGACGCTGACAATCCAATGTGAATCCAAATGCAGGTTTTATTATAAGAGAATCAGGAGCAAATGGTAACATGCGGGCAAATCATGTTACCAATGTAACCAAAACAAACAAAACAATGCAAGTGTCAGGCAAGGCAAGGCAAACGCATCGTTCACAATAACAGAAAACAAGACTCAGCACTGATGTGTGTGTGTGTGTGTGTGTGTGTGTGTGTGTGTCTGTGTTGTATACATCGTGCTTGTAAACAGTCCGTAATGATACTCCGGCTATGTGTTTGTGCAATCAGCGGAATCGGAAACAGGTGTGTGTAAGCGGTGCATGACTGGATCTGTAGTCCAAATAATGGCAGATTTGTAGTTCTATGGGGATCTACGTGTTTACCTGTGATCTACAAGGATTAGATTGCTGGTGATTGTGACAGTACCCTAAAGGTACAAAATTTTACCTTCAAGTTACCTATGTGCACAATTAAGATACCAAAGTGTACCTTTTAAAAAGGTGCCATCCCAGTGGCAGGTTTTGTACGTTTATTTCTGAGAGTGTAGCATTTTAATTGTGTTTTATTTGAATTCTAAAATTTGTCCTTTTGTTGTTCTCTGTAATCTATTATCTCTAAATAGTAACAAAAATCAGTAATTTTGCCATTATTATATTTAATATATTTCCAATCCCCATGCTTCTACAACCTTTTTGAATAAATTAATTCATAAATAATAAAAAAATCATATATATTATATAATTAATATATTCAAATATTTAACAATAAATATCCAATTCATGTAAATGTAAGTTCTTACCATTTCTACATTTTATAATAGCAGTAAAAAATAATAAAAAATAATATGTTGCCTATTTGTTTAGTTGCCTTGTCATTAGTCAATAAAACACTTAATTTTAAACACATTAACAGTCATTATAACATCTTGAATCACATAATTAAAACAAGATTTCAAAGGAATTGTAATCAGGTGCAACAAATTCTACCAATTAAAACTCCAGTGGGACCAATAGGATCACACTGGGTCCTACTTGAGAGCTGATTCCTTGCAGGGACTTGATTAGTAATGACACCGGGCTTAATGGGTCCTGATGATAAATTTGGTCTTCCAAATCAAACAGATCAGCCTCTGAAAAAGATTGAATATTATTTACCACATTAATCCACAGCAAAGCCCCAAATAATTCAGCTAAAATATGAGCAACTTCTTTAACGAGGAGTTCATCCATAAATGAACATGCTGTCATTTTTTTCAGGTCACCAAGATGTTGGCTGTGGTGGTTGTACTTTTCGCCCTGCTCTGGATGCCCTACAGGACCCTGGTCCTCATCAACTCCTTCGTCAGCACGCCATACCTGGATTCCTGGTTCATTCTCTTCTGCAGGACCTGCATTTACGCTAACAGCGCCATCAACCCTGTCGTTTACAATCTGATGTCCCAGAAGTTTCGCTCGGCCTTCCGCGGACTGTACCGCTGCCGTAGGGAAGATTTGCACCAAAGGACACTCTCAATGCTCCAGAGCGGATACAGCCTAGGAAGAGACCCGCGAATCTGCAGCAACGGCACCAGAGACACTCCTAAGAAAGTCGGTTCAGTCACTCCAGAGCAGAAACAAAACAAGGGCTTTGAGAACAAGGTGGAAAATACAGACAGACAGATTAGCGACGGTGTTGAAAATGAGATTAATCCGAGCATCAAGAAAAATGCATGCGCAAATTGTGACATAGATGAATCGAAAACCTCAGAGATGCCTACAGTGGAGGACGTGGACATGAGCAAGATTAATGATAATGGGAAAATAATGGAGGAAAGCGGTAATAGTGCTCAGGATATTATCGCTGACATGAGCAACACACAGCAGACACAACGAGTGTCCGGTGAATTCACATCTACTCTGGGGGAAGCAGAACAGAATGATGCAGAGCTCAGTCACAGTGTTTTATAGATCACTCCACTACTGTATATATTACGTTGAAGTGGCGGGGTTGAGCCTGGTTGTTCATTTATAAGCCAGATCTTGAAATTGGAAACTTGTATGTACTCACAGGCATCATTCTCTCTCTCCAGTGAAGGTGACGAAACACTCTCTTCTCGTGATTTGCAAGTGGAACCATTTGGCTGTTAGCACCAGCATCACATGCCTCCTCACTTGGGATGCTTGATGTGTTCAAAGCATAATATTGTGGTTATTCAGACAAAACATTTTAAACTATAATTTTGCTCTCCTATTGCTGCTGCATAGTAATGTAGGTGTATAAGTACTATTCTATATCTAAATGTATGATATAAACTTCTAATTAATATCAAGGGCGAAATCAAGGTTCGGGTCCCGACTGGACAAGGAGGCCTGAATGTGTGGAGTTTGCATGTTCTACCTATATTTGTGTGGGTTTTTTCTGAGTGCTCAGGTTTACCCCACAGTCCAAAGACATTTAGGGCGTACTCACACCAGGGGAAGACCCAATGATCTCAAACTTCCATTTTGGGCTATGTGTGAGCGTGCAACGTTGGTGTGTATTTTGTCAAAATAGTCGAGAGTCAAGCCTGTTTCACGTGCACGTATGGAGTGCAGAAACAGTGAGCTGATGTTTGCCTTTTGCGTCTGCAGCGCACACAGATCGACAACTGTTGCACAGATAAATATATTCTTGTCTATTTTATCTAGTTATAGATCTGTTCTATTTATATTATAAATATACCTTTTTTCTTTACATCTGCACCAAGGCCCGCGGCAACTTCCTCCTTGGCTGTTTCTTTAACCTGCAGGTCTTTATTTTACAAATAAATTATATAAATCATAAAGAATGTTTGCAGGGGCAGACTGGCTATAGGGAGCACCTGCTCCACTACCCCACTTTTTATAAACGTTGCGCTCCCCACCCCCCACCCCCACCACCGCTCTGCACTTTGGCCAGACCTTCAGTAACTTTTCCCGGTTGAAAATACTATCCCAGTCCGCTCCTGACTCACAATGTACAGTTGCCTTGGACTAGGCCGAACCACCCTTGGCACCCCTCTCATCTCCCCCGACGGCTCGCACTCACATTGCATTCATGCCTGAGCACGCTTACGTCATCGATGATGCACTGTTCAGTAAGAAGCGCTCTCACTCATCACAGTGGAGATTTCTTTATATCATTTAAGTTGTTTGAGAAGCAGTGACACGCAGTCAAATATTTCGCTGAACAGATCAGCCACTTTTGACACTTATAAACAATCATAAAGTCCTCATGCTGCAGGAATTAGGAGGTTTGCTAAAGGTGGAGCTTTTTAGGCACGTTTCGTCTTCAGCCAATTGAACAATGCCTGAGCCCGATTCAGAGCACTCACACTTTTTTTTAAACGATCCAGGAAACGGACCTGGGCACAATTTGGATAGCATAGTGTGAGTGTGCCCTTAGTACGGGTGAATTGGATAAACTAAGTTGTCACACAACTAATAGTGTGTGGATGGGAGATTGTGTGGGTGTTTCCTAGAACTGAGGCTTGTAGTCTCAGTCCTGGGTTGCAGCATCTGCTGTGTAAAGAGTATGCCAGAGCGATTGGTGGTTCATTCCATCGTGGAGACCCCTGATGAAGCAGAGAAAAAGTTGAAAGGGAGTGAATTAATATTATTCATTCATTCATTCATTTTTCTTCGGCTCAGTCACTATTTCAGAGGTCACCTCAGCAGAATGAACCGCCAACTATTCCAACATATGTTTTGCACAGTGGATAGCCTTCCAGCCACAACCCAGTACAGGGAAACTAATTAATATTAACAATCCTAAAATATATTTATAATATCTGAATACTGAAGCAGCAACCATAGAACAGAAAACTCACAAATGGCTTAAAGTCATTAAGAAGGGGAAGTAACAATAGTTTTTCTGTCCCTATTGTGAGGTATGTTCTTAAAAATAAAGGCTCTCTATTTTTATCAGTGGTTCCATTAATGAAACTTCTCTCGAGGGACGCAAATCAGACTTCTATCATTTAGTCTGCTTAAATCCTGGCTCTTTCTCACAACTGACAAGCTTGCATTCAGATCATCCAATTAAACAACAGATGGACAGAACCACATTTCCACCATACATTTTTTTCAATAATCTGTTTCATTAAAATGTCACAGTACAAAAGGAACGATATTTCATAACTGTCACTACTTTCATTAGATTGTGACTTCAGACATCAGTCCTTTATAAGGTGTTCACACTTTTGCTTTGGTTTGATTCTGCATCATTCACACCACCTTTTGGAAGTTTGTCTCTATTTGCACTTTTGCATTGATTTTGTAATCCTGGGTTCACACCATATACGAAGCATCAAGTTACTACATTACTTGTGGAATGTTTTTTATTTATTTTATTTTCGCTTAGTCTCTTTATTACTCAGGGGTCGCCACAGCGATTTCCACACAGAAATGACAACTAACCCAGCCGAGACTCCAACCAGCGACCTTTTTGTTGTAAGGCAACAGCACTACCCACTGCACCACCATGCCACCCGTGGAATGTTTTTGTCTTAAGCAAATTTTCTGCTCAAGTTAAATTTTTTACTCATACAGAGGATGGAAATGGAGCGATTTCTATGCTTGTGTGAAAAACAAGCCGTGCATTCCAAGTCATTCACAATTCTGGCAAATTCACCTACTTAAAACTTCCATTTGGTGTGAACACAGCATTAGTGCAGTTCATATGTGTGAAGTGTGGACACTGCAAAAAATACTTTTTGTTTCTAGAATGGAATGGAATGTATTTTTTTTTATTGAATGCCATTTTCATGACAAGAACATGTCAATACTAAATATACAATTAAAAACAAACAAATGAGCATAAATTAAATAAGATTTTTGGTGTTAATACATTATAGAAAAATTAATTTTTTTGTTTCTAGAAAAAATATTTAAAAAAATAACAAATCAAGAATTTTTGAAAGCATTTTCTCGACAAGTTGAGCTAAGGCTGATGTTCAAAAGATTGATTTTATTTTGAAATAAGATTATTTCACATATCCCATTGGCAGATTACTTTGCTTGTTTTAAGAAACTCAAACTTAAAATTTTAGTATTTCTGAAAACAAAAACAATGCTTGTTTTGCTTGTCAAGAAAATGCTTCTTGATTGAACAATTTTACATATTTAGAGAAGAAACAAAACAAAGGTCCCTATCATACCCCCGGTGCAATATAGCACAAGATGTGTTTGGGGCGATTTGTTGTTATTTTCAGACCAGTGCAAGCCTAATTTTCTCACTTTGCGTAAATAGTATATCCATTTGCGTCACTTTGTGGATTCATAGGTTTTCTGGTTTATAAAGAAGGTGTGTTAAGACGCACTGTGGGTGCGATGATATTTTGAGGAACTAAAATAGACTGCGCAATTGACCAGCTGAAAGCAGGTCTAAAGTCCAGCGCGGAGTGCATTAGTTGTGTAATTTAAAAGCCTACACATTGCTTAATACTCACAGGATGTACAGCAATACACAAATATCCTTACAAATGAAACAGAATTAAAGGATTAAAATATTTTAAAATGTTATTTTCTACATAAATATAAAACTGCCTCTACCTCCATGCAAATCTTTGCACTTAACAAACTAAATTAAATATGTAGGCTAATGAATGTCTTCGGTGGAGTGCGTACACCATTCCATTTTCCACAAAAGTAAAGGAGTAAAGTAAAGAGTAAAAGTAAAGAGACAGAGTGGAGGAGGCTCATTCTTTATTCTTGTGCTGCAGATGGTCTGTTTTAACCGTTTTCTCTCTAGTAAAGCATTAACCTTTTCACTTACAAATTCCAGCATGCATAATGGTGTGATGCAACTGACTCTTAAATTAATGGGCAATGAGACTGATTGGTTTAATGCATGTTATGCTCAAAACACACCCAAAACTCATTAAGAGAATAAGCACAACCCTGTTAGACCATGCGCTGTGGCGCAGAGTATATTTTTCTGTCCTTAAAATAGCAAAAGTGGATTCGGACACGCACTTAATGCTTTTGCTCCATGTGCTTCAGACTTTGCATCTTTATTGTTAAAATAGAGCCCAAAAACTCTTAAGAACAGCATTTTTTAAGTAAACATGTGTATAGGTACTTCTTATTTAATTCTGGTGTGGTTTGATGGAAATATAAACCAAAGACATCTAAATTAACCAAAAACAGGAAGTTGAAAAGGACATAATGATGACACATACCTTTTTTTTTTTTTTAAACCATAGAAGCTTTGTTGCCCATTACAGTTTAATACAGTCATCACACATGCATCTGTTTGCAGAAGATCTCAATTAAGAATTCCTGCTGCTTTTTTCCTTTGCAAGCTCTAAACGAATTCTGACGTCATCACATGTATGCACATACAAGCATGTTTAGACAAGAACCTGCAAAATATACCTTCTTCATAAAAGAAAAAAAAAAAAAAAAAAAAAAAAAAAAAAAAAAAATATATATATATATATATATATATATATATATATATATATATATATATATATATATATATATATATATATTTAAATTTTAAGTTGGTCAGTCTGCCTTTTTACTCCAGTTTAAGAAAAACAGAGAGGGCCAAACTACAAGTGTGAACACCCTAAAAAAAACTTAGCAGTTGACCCAAAAATGAACCAAGCGAGAGAGAAAAAAAGACACACAAACCAGTGTGGCTCTTTCACTTTGAAACGGCATATTTAATTAAATAGCAGCCTTTTAATAATCACACAAGACCATATCGCAGTTTCAATTTGAATTTAATTAATAGTGCAGCCTTAGCTGAAGGATCCGTCTTCTTTCAACACAACACGTGTTTCACCCTACTTTGTGTCTTCCAGCGCGAAGAAATGAGAAACAAACAAACCTCACCCTGCTTTTAAAGCACAGACGTCAAGTTGTCCCATAAAAACATTCAGCACGCTATAGGGCATAAGATCCATTTAAAATGCTTTCGCCCAACAACAAAGCCCAAAGCGTCATGGCACACTTGTGTTTTTCCCACAGCCAGCACAAGACATTTGCCATCACTGAAGACACATAATGCCTCGCCATTTGTTCCAGCCCAAATAAACAGCATGCCCAGCGGTATGTCTGAGCTTTTTAGACCCCATTTACAGCCCAGCCGAGTCAGGCATCCATTTGTCAGGTGTACTTATTCATTTATTTTATGTGCAGTGCAACAAACACCTTCTACGCAGAACGGAGACCATGTTTTCTGTTGAAGCGAGCACAAAGATATAACCATAAATCATCTATAAACAGAACATATCCTTCCCGGAGGAGAGCGGAAGAGCTGAAGAGTACTCTCAAAGCACTTTGTTGTTTAGCAAGCGCTATTCTATGTGTTTTAATGCCTCATATTTATGCAGAGACATTTATTATTGAACATCGGTGTGATATCTTTTGTTGTAAATCATCGTTTTCTGATTCTGCCATGACATTTTTAGTCGAAACATGAACCCTGTGTTATTTTCATCCGCCATTAAGTCTAACTGCTCTCTGAAGTGTTTTGTTGTTGCTCTGAGAAGAATGCAATTTTGAAGCAAGAAATGTCAGATTAGATGTTTTTTTTTTTTCTACCATGAATATGAGACTACAGATGTGGTTATTCTGTTTCTGATTTCCTATCATTTGATGTTTTTAGACTTGTGTTTAATTTATCAATGTAAAGAGACACTTTAAAGAGCTAATGTGTAATGCTTAGCCTATGAGATTTTCCTC